ACTTTTTAAATGACTTGATTCAAAAACCCAAATCGAAATATAATAAGTGGATCATTGGTTTGGAAAAAGAAGCAGGCAATTTGACTTGGTTGAGTGGAAAATCACTGACCATTTGCAAATGGGATAAAAACCAGGCAAGTGACGACGAAGATGTGGCAATAATAGTCAAGACGTCTTTGAATGACAGTAAAGCGGGCCTATTTCAAATGACCCACGGGGATCAGCCTTATGCCTCAATTTGTGAAATTAACAAAGGTAAGAGGCAACACAATTGAGCAAACTAGGGGTGCGCTCAAAGCCCTTGAGCGTAAAAAAGTGCTGCCAGACCTTGATAAAATGATAAAACCTTGCACCTTTATTTCCCTTATTGTGTGGAAGCTTCAAAGCAATTCCGTCATTTTAGTTTTAAAATGGCCATTATTCTGTGTCTACCTACGCCTGATACTTTCATGTCGATCATCGCTAAAATTTTCGAGCTTCTCACAGTAATGAATGAAATATCGCTACAACGGTGTCAAAGAACACCGTGATAATGAACATATTTAAGCTTTACACTCGTGAGTAGATAGGAGGAGACCCACGTTTTAAAGAAATATTGTTTACCTTCGATAATTCTTCAAATGGATACTATTTTGAAGACTCATTTCCTTATTTTGAAGATTGTTTTAAAGACTCCTGCTACGTGTCTATGGCCTCTGGATTTACATGGATGTTGAACAGAGGTTATTGTCGAGACTGTGGAGTTGACCTAGTTTCCATTGAAACCGAAGAGGAATGGTTCTTTATTGATAGCGAGATTCGAAATCGCTATACTGTGGAGTGGTACATCGGGTTGGAAAAAATGGAAAAAATTGGACTTGGGTGAGTGAAAGGCCGCTGAAAATAGAGAGAAAACCAGCCAAGCAATAACAATAGAGTGGCATTTATGGTCAGGGAGTCTGATTCAGGTGAACAGGGCTTATCTACTGATCCAGCGGGGAGAGATCCAAAAGCTTTTATTTGTGAGATGCCCAAAGGTAAGACAAATTTGCGCCTGCTTAGCGCACAATAAACAGAGAAGCGTGTGTCTAGGCCCTCAGTGAGACAGAAATGTCATCATGGACCACACTGTCAGGAATATATTGATCTTGGGTTTGCGCGTCACGTTTCCTTTCCACTTCGCAAACGCGTATGAACTATGCATTATGGATGACTTGTATTCGAAAATGGAAGCCACTTTGATATCGAGCATCACAAAATAGTTAGACTTAAGGTTTCAGAACCGGAAATGAAAATAATTGAGATTGATGCGATTATGGTGTACCAATCAGTTCGTCCAGCATGGTTTGCCTATGAACGAGACTAGTGAGACTTCTTCTAGAAACATGCCACATTTCGCAACGCCAACAATATTTTGTGGTGCTGAATATCATCACAAAGGAAGGTGTAATTTTTAATGGCATTAAATCCTTACAAATTGCCAATATTATTGTCCAGTATTGCCAGGCTATTCTTTGTTATTGGCAATGATGGATTGTAAATTTCAAGTAGGCTTTAAAGTCAGTTTGTTTGTTAGTCACCTATTAGCGCTTTTTTTCCCGGTTTTTTTAAGGGTTGGATTTACTTCACGGTTTCTGTCAAGTCAACGGCATCTTCTGATTATATTATTGTTATTGTCTTAGGCTTGACAAGCGCAGCGAAAAGACAGAAAACGCAACAAGCAAAAGGTGGAAACGAACAAAGGCTCGTAGAAGGGAACCTGTAGAAAGAGAGCCACCCACAGGTTCTCCTAAATGGGCGCTGTCCGATGAATGGAGGGAAATCATGCAAAGGAGAGACCAGGAACAAACGGAAATGTAAGAATACTGCTTAGCCTTTACACTTATTATTGGATGCTGTCGCTTTTATTTTGAGTTTACCAACTATGAAAGTGAAGCACAGAAGAACGTACAAACTATGTAAAATTCACTGTCTATATATTCATGCTATGAAGAATTTCGTAATATGCTTGTTTCCTTTATACAAGGCTGTTACATTGTTTACCTAACATT